AAAAAAAAAAAAAAAAGGAAAAAGGAAAAAGAAAAAAGAAAATGTACCTTTAAAGCCTTAGAAATCTCAGACCCAGCCCAGTGACATTTCCGACATGAAAAAGAAGTTTTTATTTTGACTAGAAATTCATGAATGAACTCTATCCTTGTTTGAAATATAACTGGAAATTTTTCATTTACTCTTAGTTTCACGAATTTCAAAAGGTCTCTACTCACATATAGATGCCAACCACCAAAGACCATATCCTTTTCACAATTCAAAGCAGAAAAACACTGGGTCCCAGATAGGAGTATCTGGCCCCCTTCAGTAATCTTCCTGGCCTTCAATAAGCCTTTTCTTCTATGTTGAACAGTTTCTGCTTTTCCTGAGATAACCTCTTGTCCCTGTCTGCATTGTTTTCAAAGAAGGTGGAACTTTCTTGGCCAATCATGTACCTCTAACTTGTCTTAGCTATATGCGAAGAAGATGATAAAATTCAGTGTAATGTTCTGTCCAATAACTAATGGCAAACGCTCTGTTCTTGCACCTCCCACTTGATTGTAAATTTATTAAAAATCCTGCTGAGAGTTTGGTGGTACTTGGCTATTCAGTGACAGACCTCAGCCAAGCCCAGTGGCATGAATAAAGCTGTATACCTGTCTCTAAAACCCCAGGTGCTGCTTCCTTTGTTGTTTAGGTCTGCTGCAGCACTTATTGGGAGTGGTAAACACCTTCTAGGAGCTGTAACACTGCTACAACAAATGAGGTTACCAGACAGTAACTACATATCCCCAGAAATGACTATGAACCACAGACAGGTCCTACTAAACCCATACTAAACACATCACCAATCACCAAATATCAGTGTTACAGCAAAGACAGCTTTACCTGAGGCAATCATGAGCAGTACTCCAAGAAGTGGAAGGAAGCAAGTTTTAATAAGCCATCCAGCCCAGAAAAGTTAAGGTCTCCAATTTCTAAGCTCTCAGCCTTGGGGTAGGTGGAGTTTTATACCTTTGTTTTAGTTGGATGGGCATCAGAAGCAAGCTCACTAAAGAAGCAGAGCTGATATTATTTATGTAAGTTTAGCAGGTGTTAACTGGGGTTACATGGGGGGTGTTAGGGTACAGGACGCAGAGAGGCTGCTGAAGTCTGTGGTTAAAAGACAGCAAAAACAGACTGTTGGAACAAGTAGAACAGAATTATAGACAGCAGCTAAAGCTGGAAATCGGTCACATGTGTGAGGATAAGAAATGGTCAAAGTGCCTAAAGCAATCAAACTACCTCAGTCCTGAGAAAAACATCTTGCCTGAGACAATTCCTGTCAGTCACTAGACAACCCTTTGAGTGTGATACTAATTTTGTTAAAAGTATAAATAAATGCCCCTACAGTGGTTGTTGTTCAGGTCCTCTTCTCTCAGCAGGAGAAGGTTTCTTTTACCTCGGCTTTTGTCTTATCTATACTTCTTTCTTCACCTGCTCGCTGTTTTTCAGTGGGACCATGGATGTAGCAACTGGCACCAGAACAGGGATACCCAGTGAAAAAAATTTGTGGGTGATGGGATGCTTCTTCATTTGAACACAACAGGGGAGAGAAGCGTATTGGGTAAGGAAGACATCCAGCACAGGAGTGCACGGATATCAGCAGATCAGGTATACAAAAACTTGAAGCAGGGGGTCTGGCCCTAGCTCAGGCCTTTAAGTGGCTGCTTCCAAAAACCTGTCAGCCTCAGGTTGCTGGAGTTCGAACCTCACACCTCTCCAGCTGGCCAAAAGTGCCCTGAAGGCATTCGAGGAACAAAAAAAAAAAAAAAAAAAAAAAAAAAGAAAAGCCTTATTCCAAAAACTTGAAGCAAAAGATTAAAAAGGACTTAGGGGGCTGGTGAGATGGCTCAGTGGTCTAAAGCACCTACTTAGAACAAGCTTAGCAAAGCACAGGGACCGCGGTTCAATCCCCCAGCACCACATGCCAGCCAGCCCCGCCCCCTGCTGGGCTGAGCTGGCCACACACACACACACACACACACACACACACACACAGCGATAAATAAATAAAATTAAAAAAAAAAGGACTTAGGAACAAAAAAAGATATAGGCATGGGGGGCTGGGAAGATGGCTCAGTAAAATAAGCGCTTCCCTGGCAAGCACAAGGGCCCGAGTTCAATCCCTGGTTCCAACAAATAAATAAATAGACAAACAAACAAATAAATAAAATCAAGTGATGGGGCCGGTGAGATAGCTCAGCAGACTAAGCACCTGCTTAGGCAAGCACAGGGACTGGGATTTGATCCCTGGCACTACATGCTGTGCTGACCCCACCCCAGATGCACTGAACCGACCACAGAGACTGGGCATGGTGGCACACACCTGCAATCCCAGCACCAGACAGGCTGAAAACAGGAGGATCACAAGGCCGAGCTGTGTGGTGAGACCCTACATCAAATACATAAAAATTAAATAAAGTAAAATAAAGTGATAAGCAGTAAAAGGAGGGCAAAGCAGTAGTCCCACCAATAGCACTTGAACCCTCAGGCTTTGCTCAATTAGATAAAAAAGCTAGATGGGTAGCAGAGGGAGGATTTGCAATATGCCTATCCTGTTACTAAAGTTCAAGCTCTTGGGACGGCCTGATAGCTCAATGGACTAAAGCATCTGCTTAGACAGAGCACAGTGGCTGGGATTCAATCCCTGGCATGCTATGCTGGCTCACCCACGGGGTGGGATGACAGGGCAATTGAGACTGGGCGAGGTGGTGCATACCTGTAATCCCAGAGCTTGGAATGTTGAAAACAGGAGAATCACTACGAATCTGATCTGTGTATTGAGACCCTGCAGACCCTGTCCTAAATACACAAAAAATAAAGTTCAAGCTCTTAATGGTCCAAGACAAACTAAATGTCTTCGAGTCTGTGCAAATATCAACTCCTCATATGTGCAAGGGGCTGCCCTTACAGCAGCTATCACTCAGGTTATTCACTCAGGTGAGAGGAAAGGAAGAAAAAAAAGGCTCTTTGTTCCCATTGTGAGGATGAGGAACACTTTATCCCAAAGTGCTCTGCTGCACTTGAAGCACAGATATTAACTGTATTTTCAACAAAGACTTCTGCTCATTATACCAAGTGTTGACAAGGGTTCCACTGGAAAAATGAGTGTAAATCTAAAATGGATGTGGAAGACTGACCTATTCAGGGAAACTTTTAATTGGAGCCTGCCTCAGCAGCATCAAACATTAGGGGTGCAGACCAGGTGCAGGGAGGGTCCCATGCTCTGGTCCTAGGAGGATTCAACTGGGATTTCTCAGTGCCCGTATGTCTGTGTACCCTGCCCATCCACAGCTGCTGGTGAGCACCATCAACCAGAAGGACTGGGTGCCTAGGGACAAATAGGTGGGACATGACTGCAGCATATTTGTTATGGGCATGGAAAGTTTACACGCACAAACAGCACCTGTGCTCAGAATACAGGCAGCAAAGTGATATCCAGTGACCATAGCAGAAGTCGCAACCGATACACCCAGTGCTTGGGGTCAGCTCACAAAAAGCCCTGCCTACAGAAGCAATGACTGCTACATCTCCTGAAAAGGGGAAGGTGCAGGTGACGGAGCTCATACCCAACAGTAAGGCAGCTCAACAAGCCACTGCTAACAGCTTGTCCAGCACCAAAGTGATGGTAAGGAAGCTGTACCCTGTGAAGGACCACTGGGGCAACTCTCCTTGAAAAAAAGCTGTGCCTGACCTCATTTGATATGTACAGAGTGAGCAAGGATTTTTCCTTATCCCTTCAACTGGCTTTAAGCAGTGGGAATCAGTCTAGCTGAGGTGCTGGTGGCAGTCATGTAGTCTTTGAAGTTGGCATGCGTGTTTCCCTGGTAAACCCCACCTGCTGCTGTTTAATATGAGCCAGGTCAAGATGGGACAAAGAGCTCCATGCTGTTGGCTGGAATCAAGATTCAAGACAGAGGCTGTAACTTCCTGGAGCTTGAAAGAGTACAAATCAGAGCTGAAGCACCAGAACCCAAAACACTGGATACTATCTCAGTTGTGTAATGCAGACTACTCTGCACATTGCAGAAGTAAATACAGGCCTCCTACCTAACCCAGCTCACAGTAGTCATCTACTTCCTGCCATTCTAGGTCATTCATACTCAAGCCACTCCTCCTTTAAGACTGAATAAAACCCGGATTTGGCCCTAGGTCTCAGCCCTTGTTCCA